AACGCCCAGGTAATGAAAATCGAAGACGAGAAACAAGTCGAAACCGAACGACTCGTAAATCCGAATTCGTTTCGATCGATCGCGTTCCACTGTGGCAGCGGAGCTTTCGGGGCTCGCGACGGAATAAAGAGTTTAGCGATCGATTGGCTTTTTATCGTGCTATTCGAACGCGATTTTAGTCTGGGAGAGAATCGAAGAGTGGTTGCCGCTGGTGCGAGAGCGAAGCAAGGCCCGGACCAGCGGCGTCCGACGATTTATGCCCGCAGACTTATTTGGCAGCATTGTTTACGGGCCAGGAAGCAGTTTGTCCCGAACACTCGGCTCCTTTTTTGCGATATAATTGCAGATTCTGCGCGTCCACGCAGCCAGGGCGGTCCTTTTTTGCGACGGATCTTTCTGTCCCACCGCGACATAAGAAACTCACCAGGCCGCGACCGTGGCCTCTCACTCACCCACCCCATTCTACGACATCGAACCCGTCTCCCACCCTATGCCACCCCGTGATTCTTTCTCCTCCTTCTCCTCCTCTTGTCCTCGCGTTGTCTCTTCTTGCCATACTTTATCACAACGCCCTCCTCCTTTTTCTACCAGCTTCTTTCTTTCTCACTGCCCTTCTATACTGCTCTTCTTTACCTCTCAGCTTTTACGGTAGCCCGATCCGACGTGTCCCGATTTTTTCCCCGACGCTCTTTCTCTCTCTCTCTCTCTCTCTCTCTCCTCTTCTTTTTCACGTCTTTTAACCTCATCCCTTTCACCGAATCATCCGGCCGATCCAACAACCGCCCGGACAAAGCTGGAGAAAGTACATACGTCGCGTCACGTCGCGTCGCGGAGAATTCGCAAGCGATTTCGATTCTTTCAATGATTGTCCTACCAAGGACACGTTAATGAAAAAAAGAAGAAACTGCAGCTAATCGCGTCGTTTCAAAGATTCGACAAGCTTCTCAAACGTATCGAACTTTTACTTTTGAACAAAAGGGTCACATACGCAAAGTACAAGGGAGAATCCGCCGTTCTGTTTCTAAAGAAAATATTTCAGCAAAAATACGAAGAACTTATTAACTTATCCTCGACGTCGTAACGTCGTTGCCTTTTCTTAAGGTAAAAGAAACAAAGCGATTCGCTTTAAAAGCAAATATCTCGTAAATAAAGATACGCAGAAAATAATTATACAGGCAATTTTCAAAGCAACGCGATCCTTTTTAATATCTTATCGAAACATTTGCAAACTCGATCATCCTACTGAAACAAATTTGCACATTGAACGGCTGTCAATATATTAACGAGGGTATACCGGCGTTCCAAGAGCCAACGCGAACTGACGTGATCTGATATACTTCGAGATAGTTCGAGTTTCAAATCACGAACATCTAACATTACGCTAATTAAGGATCGCATTCAGCGAAGATGACATATCTTCCGCGTGTAATTGGAGCAAGATGTATTTACGTGATGGAACCTATCATCTTCTCGCCATTCACGGGATCCGATCGACCCGGTGATAATTGATGCACACTTAATAACGAACGATCCATGCAAAGTAATTAAGAGCATGCACGCGAATTTATCAAGATCCACCACGGAACATGCTATTAACGTCAAGGCGTTCTCGAGTCGAGATATGTAAACTCGTCTTTAGCGACGATTGCTCGGAGAAGCGGTTACCTGTCCTGTGACCAAGCTCTTTTACATTAAATTACCTTTAATCTGAATTATTTCGATCGTATCGACTTGAATTTATTTAAAGAAACTTTTATCCAGAGAAACTGGTTTTCCGTGTTATTGAGTCGCATGGTATCAATAATTTTAAATCGCGCCAAATTATAGCTCTAAAAAGCTTTTACTGACTCGCGTTATTCTAAAAAGATATTATTTTACTCCAGAAAAATGATCCAATAAATTAATTTGAAAAATAGTTTAGCTTTGATAATAACGCTCAATCTGAAATATCCCATTGTGTTTCCAATTACGGACTCAAATTTGTAAAATATTCCCAATAAATCTCGTTTCGTCATTCTTCGTACGCAAATCTTAATAACTGAAGTACAAAGTACGATATTATTGCTCTCGTATATGAGAACTAAAAAGCTGCAGAAGAATTTGAGAAGGAAACTAAAAAGAATCCGCGCGACATTTCCTCTGCGCGAACGGATTGGCGATCCGGAGAAGTGTTCTGGTTGCATGGAAACCCCGAGGGAAGACAGATAATCGATGAGGGGAACCAAGTGTCTTGACCATAGCGAGGAATTGACAGACAAGGCGCTATCTTAAAGGGAATTCTCGGGGAGAGATCGTGCTCTCCCGCCTCTGTGGAGAAACCGAGCAATAAATTCGCGGATACGTCGCCGACAGAAGGATCTGATAGCGGCGAAACTTGCCCGCGCAAAACCCTTCTTTTCGTCGTACGCCGAATATGGAAACGACCCTTCATTAAAACCATTCGAATATCAGTACGTCTGTGTCAAGAATTTTATTAAATCATGAAACGTATCGCAAGAATAAATTTCTCGGCGCAACTTTCGGACTTACTTTGTACCTATGTCGCATTTTAATTGCAAATTTCATAACTTAAATTGAATAGAGTTTTAACTTTAATTATAGTGATTTGTATCCAATTCGCGCAATTATTATAATATAAAAAAAAATCTATCCCTAATACGTGGTTAGTAACATGCTAAAGCTGCTGTACTATATTATAAAATACAAAATATGCAAGGTTTCACCGCTTTATAGCTAGCTAAAGAAAAATATTGTTTTTAATATTGTGTAAAGTGAATAATAATTCTTTGTGAATTCAAATTAGTTAATCTCAAAAGTTGAGAAACTGTTGTGGAAAATAAATATGAAATATTTTGATTTTGCATTAATCGTACATCTTTAACCCGGGATTACCCACCTGGGGGTCTAGCGCAGGTACATCCCGGCGACTAGACCCTCACGTGGGTAATCCCGGGTTAATCGATAATATTTAAATTTCATTAAATGATCTATAGATGATAAATGGTATAAAAAAAACAGATATGTGATATACTGTCATCTATCGGAAAAATGCGTAAAGTATTACTTAAATTCCAAACGAATTTTACGTGTCGATAAGATATCCTACTTTACCGATAGTTGTTATATAAATAACTACCAGTACCATCTGTGCTACCAGTATTGTAAATAGCACAGACGATATACCTCGTCTATATAAATAAGCAATAAGAATATTTTAGCACAAATCTATTATACAAATTAATATTGTCATTGACTAGATATTGTAATTAAATATAATTTTAATTTAAAATAAATGTGATGTGAAATAAAAGTTTAGAAATCAATAAATTATTGCCTATTACAATGGGAAAAAATGGTTGGAAAGATAAAAAAAAAAAGCATATAACTCACTGTTAGACATAACGGTGTAGTAATCTAAATGGAATGCCTTCCTTAAGACAGGACTATTGAATGAAAAAGAAAATCTGTAACAAAATATAGAATATTAGCTTGAAAAAACTTCGAACAATGAATGATAAGATAAATTTACAATATTAATAATAATAAAAATTGAAACACTAATATAAAAATATACTTACATTTTTGACTTTTAGAACATTGCTGGGTTTTCCCCGTAAAAACACTGACTCTAATACCGGAAATAAACATTAAAAAAAAAAAGGAAAAATAAAACACTATTAACCTCGTTAATTTATAATCGACGAACAATCACTGACTCTAATTTCGCGTACAAATCTACTTAATAACTATTTCACGCAGCAAACACTGATTTTAATCCTGTCTCGTTTGAGTTACGATAAAACTCAGAATCACTGCACTCTAAAAAATGTTTAAAATATTATTACGCAACAAAAACTGGTACTCTTAACCGCCTTGCGCGCGGTTTCAAAAATTCTAAAATTAAGATGGCGTCTATAACGGCGTAGCTCTTATTTCGCGCCTTTTTGCGCCCTCTCGTGACCAGCTATAAAACCAAAAGGAAACCAAAAATTATAAAATATATGAACAAATATATAAATTCTACTAAAATGTAATATATTATAATAAAACAATATATGTATTCGATAAATACTAATAGATCACACATGTGAAGTAATACATCTTATCACTTTGATTTTCGACAACAAACACCTCGCGACGCTACTTGTCGCGCGAATTTCTGACTTTATGAAACGTTTGATTCTCTTCCACTCAAGATTGCGCAGCAAATGAAACTTTTGAATACAACTGAAATTCACGATTTCATAACAAAATATCATACAATGATTTCAAAACACCAATTGGACATTATTACTTTAAAACTTAGTAGTTAAGAAAAAGAAATTTAACCTTATTAATTAATATTTTCAATTTCGACCAGCAAAAAATTCTGAAATTACTTCTACAGATTATATCATTTACCTTTAATTCTATTTGTTTAAAAGCTGCCAATTTATTTCTCTCTATATTCTTACGTGCAAATAACTCGCAAAGATTCACATTATTTGAAACGTTATTTCAAACGAACGTTTGTTCATTAAACTGCCGTTGTACAAGTGACCGTTATGAAATTCACGTAGCGCACTCTTGCTGTTTTGAAATGAAATAACAAATTTTATTTCCATTAAAAATTTTAAAAATTTGAAAACTTCTCATGAAACATTAGAGTCAATTGACACTATTTAAGTAAAATAATGTAAAATTATATCACGTATGTCTGAGATCCGTTAATAAGAAATTTGTGATAATAAATTCCTTTCGAATAGTGAAATCTTTCAGAAGAAAAAAGAACGAGCTTTTCATTCTCTTTATTAAAGTTCTTTTTTATTTCTATTTCTATTCAAAACTTTCTTATTATATAAATTTTATTTTCCTTTTATAAACGCTTTTTCTAAATTAAATTTTTAATTTTATAAACTTTAAATTGCTATAATTGTAATATAAATAAATAATATAAATCACTCACAGTATACAACATGCAGTCCTCTTACCGTTGTAGGTGGCGCTTCTTTAGGTTTAGTCGTGTATATATAACTTAAAATATAGTATAGCACATGCAGTTATTTGTATATTTTACGATAGTTTATTCACAAATTGAAAATTTAAAATATCTTTTACGATGGAAAAGCATGTAAAATCATTGACAAATTACAATGTGGATTCTCAATTTATGGCTGTGTTAACTGCAATAATTGCGATTATTGTAACTATAGGTAATTACGTACGATATTCATAGGTTATAAATTCTTCATGTTTTATATCCAATAAAACTTATAATTATTGTGTATAAAAAATTAAATATAACATTATAATTAATATATGTAATCTCCAGATAGATGTTTATCATATTATTAAAATAACATCATAGTTTTCCTTTCCGTGACAACTAATAAACTAATGACGAGCAAAAATATGTAAATTTAAAAACTTTTAATAAATTACATTCTTAAATTATATATACAACATGAAATTCACAGACATCAGTACATTGAATAAGAGAGAGTGTTTCTCTTTAAATTTTCACATGTATTATTAAATTTTTTTTTGTTACTTTTTAATAAACGTTCAGTCTCATAGTTTCATTCGTAACATCCTACAAACGTCACATTTATTTGTTCAAAGAAAATGTATGTCATTATAGCCACAATAATTGATAAACATTATAAATATAGCTGCGAGTAACGAAATAAACATAACATTGTAGTTGTATACATAATATAAAAATAGGTACATTTTTATGTAAAAATTTGTTTAGGCTTTTATCCTAATATCCATAAGCTTATGTTTGTAGAGCCATTTGTTTGATAATAACAGCTCAAATTTAGACATTACTACTACTTATGTAGATTTCTATTCTATTTTTCTGTTCAGTGTTATTTGCCATATGGCACAGGAAAAGATCTATAGGAAACAATATATTATTAACTGGTCTCAGTGATGCTGGTAAAACACTGATATATGCACGTCTACTTTGTTCCAAATTTGTTAAAACACATACATCTGTAAAAGAAAATATAGGAGATATTATAATCAATAATGTAAGGTTTTATTAAATATATATAACCATTACTTCTTACAAAGCATAAATTTTATTCCAAAAACATATGCCTCTAAAGTTGTTGATGTGTTTAGCATTCCTTGAAGATTGTTGATATACCTGGACATGAACGTCTGCGTTATAAATTTTTTGATCAATTCAAGTTATCCACAAAAGGACTTGTTTATGTAATTGATTCAGTGACTTTCCAGAAAGATATCCGCGATGTAGCAGAGTAAGTACACATAAATGGTACATCACATTCTGTAATGAAAATAATCTTTAACTTTCAGATTTTTGTACAATTTACTCTCTGACTCTGCTGTACAAAAGAAACCAGTGCTTATATTGTGCAATAAACAAGATCAGACTATGGCAAAAGGTACAGCTGTTATAAAGACTTTGTTAGAGAAAGAAATGAATTTACTACGTATGACAAAAGCAAATCAATTAGAAGCTACAGATGCATCAATAACAAATGTTTTTCTTGGCAAGCAAGAGAAAGATTTTGACTTTTCTCATTTGGATACAAATATTGAATTTGCTGAATGTAGTGCATATAATAAAGATTCTGAAACCTCTACAGATATTGGACAATTAAACAATTGGTTGAAAAAAATTGTATAAAAATATCCTTTCATTTTTACAAATAAATTATTTGTTTTTTTAACTTTCCAAACTGTTTTATTATTTCTACATTGAAATTGAATTCATATAGAAAAAAAACTATTACATATCAATTTAACTTAGACTTATTCAACCTAATCTAATCTAATATTATTGCAATAAAGACTTGATTATCATCAATTAGTCTTTTTTTTATTTTAGATTAACACAAATATCCATACTTTGATAGAGATCTTTGATTTATTGATAAATGTTAGTATTTGCACATAAAAATGATAATGTGACTTAATTCTTAACATTTACACATTAAGAATAATTATTTTTTTACATTAAATTTATCTTACACACATTTCTGATTCTATAATTTCTATTTAATATAACTTAAATATCTATTATAATTTTGTTCTAACCTAGCGATGTCACCCATACTTGATCAAGTTTACATGACAAATAAAATTAATTAATATTTCTCAATATATGATAACAGCTAATAAAATTTAAATAACTTTTTCCTTACGTTTAATATTAAGCACATACAATATAAATGACAGAAGTTTTCTTTTGCTTCCAAAACATTCTTCCGATCAACTGATGCAACTGCACGAAAACACGCGCTGTTTAGTTAATATGAAAAGCAAATGGCGTTTTATTCAAATATTTTTAACATTATTTTTCTATTATTATTTACTAACATGCCAAAAATACAATTGTTAATTAAGAAAATTGTATTTAGTAAAAAGAAAAAAGAGTAATATATCGAAGATATATAGCATTTTTTTGTTGAAAAATAAAATAAACAATTCTTTATAAATAATATTTGGTTTCGTTATATGTAATACCGCAATGTTCTTTATAGGTAATGTAAATGTTATAAATTGTTCTAAAAAAATATATATATATATCAAACTATTGCAAAGAAAATTAATCAGCAGAAACAATTTCTAAACTTTTGTGATTGAATCGTTAGTAGTTTCAGGTACTTTGCTTTCTTTTTATGTGTAATTTAGTTAAAAAATTAATCAAAATTTTCAAATTTTGCACAATCGATCGAAACACCCTTTTGTATTGTCTTTAATTTCTCGCGAACTACGCTAGGATGTTGAAATCAAATTTCTTTGCGATGGTAGAGAAGAACATCATCTTTAAAACGTAAACCCATAGAACGCATATTATTAGCGTGAAAAACCAAAATCATTGTTTAAATTAGTCAATGTTATAAATTACCAGTCAGTATGAAATGTTTTGCTCCTTATGACATTTTGCGCCATCTTTCGCTTTGAAATTAAAAAGAGAAAGGAATATAACCTCGAATTTCGTAATGTACACTAGTTGGTCAGTAAACTACGGTATATCTACATACTATATTATTACGAAGTTTATCCGGTTTGATAAGTTTCTCCATTGTCATGTTTATCACTTTACCGATAACATTTAATCTTGTTCTGTGTTCAGGCAAGTGTCTCTATACGGAATAGTAGTGATAATATTCTATACGATGTCGTCGGCAAAACCTCAAGATACAAACTACAATTATGACATTGGAGGTATAACTATGCCTTTGTCTTTATTGCCCATATAAAAAGAATCTTTTTCATTATCATAATTCTAAATTCATAAATAACATTAAGCACATTCATAATCGATTTAATTAATTTTTTCAGTAATTGTGATTATTCCAAATACATGCTTCAGCTCTGACTTAAATATTTTTAAGCAAATTTAATTTTTTATACAAAAAATTACTCGCATTCTTATCATGCTTATTATTGACACATCATCACATAATGTACGTACTGGAATAGCAATTTTCAGGTTGATAACATTTATATAGATTTAAAAATACATGTATGTGTCTACTCTACAGATAAAACTATAAATAATATAAAGAAATTTGCGATTCCATGTTATCTAACATATACATATACATATATATATATATACATATATGCCAGTGTTTTCTTGTTTGAACAGAGAAAATCAAACAGTTCTAAATATTTCTTATAGGTATGCGAATTAAATACAAAAGCAAAAATGAAACTTTCACGGAAGATCGTCTTATAAGTAAAGAGCCTATCGGTCAATTTAAAGCATGGTTTGATGAAGCTTGTAATACTCCCCAAATTTTTGAACCAAACGCTATGTTTCTTGCCACGGCTACTAAGTAATATCAAATAAATCACTTGAAATTACTATTAAAATGCATTTAAAAAAAAACAATTTTTGCAGAGATGGAATTCCGTCTGTACGACCAGTATTACTTAAAGGTTATGGCAAGGATGGTTTCAAATTTTATACAAATTACGAAAGTAGAAAAGGCCACGAGCTAGTAAGTGCATTAGATTTTAATTTGTAGTAACATATAAACGCTGTATTTAATATTTTCAATATTAATCATTTGATTTAATCAATCTTCAGGCTCAAAACTCAAATGTAGCGGCATATCTTTACTGGGAACCTTTGAGACGAGGCGTAAGAATGGATATGTTAATATATACTTGTGAAAGAAAAAGAAGAAAATTTTCTCTAATTAAGATTACTTATTTTTATTAGGTGCGTATAGAAGGTAAAGCGGAAAAAACTTCTGCAGAAGATTCAGATCGTTATTTCCAAAGCCGACCGTATTCAAGTCAAATAGGATCATCAGCTAGTAAGCAGAGTAGCGTAATTGCAAGTAGGGAGACACTTATTGTTAAAGAGAGAGAGTTATTAGCTCAGTTTCCAGAGGGACAAGTTAAAAGGCCAGATCACTGGTAATTTCATAAGTCATCAAAGTAAATTATTAAAAATATAGCATGGTAATAATCTAGTTTAACTTTTAGGGGAGGATATAATATTATTCCACATTCCATAGAATTTTGGCAAGGTCAAAGTGATCGTTTACATGATAGAATTCGTTTTAGACGAGCTAAGTCAAATGAAAAAATCGACAATGTACTAGTCCATCAAGGTGATAATGGATGGGTTTATGAAAGATTATCTCCATAAACAATATAAAAAAAAGCTTATTTATTACATAATATTGAATATATAAGTACAAAAAAATACAAAAATGCTTTTGAATAGGAAGTTTCACAGAGGTCTAAGATTGTTGCTTCCTTGTAATTTTTAGAATTTTTTTTTCTAACCCTGGAAATACATATGTAAGCAATTGTCTGTTTAGAAGAATTGAAAAATATTTATTTACCGTCTCTAGTTTTCCACATTGTCTCAACATCAAAAATACCATCTTCCTCTATTAGGTTCTGAAATTGTCTTATTCCTCCACCAACACCAAAGTAATAGCTTTTACCAGCAATAAGTCTGAGAACACGTGAGCAAATACTATATTTTGTTATAAAAATCGTAACCAAATTTACATTTTAATGAATATACTTGCCCAATACCATCTTCTTTGAGTCTTTGTTTAAAAACTTCGTACAACTTTTTTAGATTATCAGGATTATAAGTAGTATCACTTGTCAAAATCAAATCGTATTTTACGAATTCATCTCCTTTCGAACTACGCAATTTTGTAAATGATTCCCAATCACCGCAAAAAAATTGACATCTTTTTAATACGCTTTCTCGATCATCGAAATTTAATAAAACGTTTGGGATCGTTATAGCTTTAATTACTTCTACATTCTGCAAAGATAGTTAACCGTAACGCCAATTTTATAAGATGCCTCATGAATTTTTATTCTAATAGATACAAACATAATCTTGAAAATGGACGATGGAATTTTTAAGAAGAGCAATGAGACCAAGAACACCATTACCACATCCTAAGTCCAAAACTAATTTGCCTTGGAATTCGACGTCGTTTTTAAACAAATATTGGCTTAAATCGTAATTACACTCCCAGATTTTTAAACCACCTTAATATAAAGATTCAAATGATTTAGCAATTTTCTCTAATTTTCAATAATGAAAAGAAATTTTTTTAAAAAGTAAACGATTTTACTCGACAGTTAGGTGTAATCTACCTTCGTACTTAGCGGGAATGAGATCAGAATTTTGCGATTCTGCTTCTATAATATTTGTACAATTTTCCATTTGTAAATCGTGCAAAGCTTTCTCAAATCGAATTAATTTTAGTTTACAACCTGGAAATATTTTATTTTCTGCATAATCAACGGGTTCATACTGTTTCTCAACTTGCATTTCCAATACCTCGACCTTTGAGGCAGATATCCAATTAAGTGTCGAGTTTTTTATATCTTTATCTTCTTCTAAAATAAGAGTTCTATCCTTATTCAAATCCTTATTTTTTAAATTGCTAACATGACAAAAATTTCAATCGCATTCAAAAATTGAATGTGTAACGCAAATATAACCTCAAAAATAATTCTCGTTACAGAGAATGTAAATTAATAACGAAAAGAAAAATGTAAAAATACCTTCATCCTCCTTATCCCCCGAAAACCTAAATTTAAACATCTTGTACTGAATAATTTTCTTTTTACGTTTACTTGCGAAAAGTTAAAATAAAGTAACTAAAGACAAATCAAATCACAGTATTACAGATTAGATCTAGACCGAAGAAAAAGTTTCAGGAGGGAATCGCATGATAAACTTTGTAAGTTTAGTAAAGAAATAAATTTCTTTCGAAAATCATAAATTAGCGTATTCATGTTAAATACAAATTATTGCCCTGAAAGTTTAAAATTAATTGTATTTTTTAATATCGATTTATGATATTTTCATTTGCTTATTTAGAAGATTGAACAGAACTTTTGTAACTGTGCCTTTTTAATTAGATCCTCAGTTTTCTTAGAATACGAATAATTATCTTTTTTTGGGATTAATTAGAAAGCCTAGATTTATCAAAAGATGGCGCCACCATGTCCATGTCGAAGTATTCTACACTAATTTAAGAAAAAAATAATCAAGAGAAATAATTTATCAACTTTTGCAATTGCATCGTTTGTTTAAGACCCCTAGCTTTCGTTGTATATTCATTTACATTTCAAAATATAATGATTAATAAAGATTTTCAAATTTCGTTCGGTAAATCACTTGCAATTGTGATTATTTATAAAAATAATTATTCATGCGTTTAAAATGAGATATACTAAAAAAGCTGCGGATCTAATTAAGAAGGCGCAGTTACAAAAGTTCATAATTCAATTCTCTAAGTAAATTTTCTTTGAAAATGAAAATTTCTTACTAAAAAGTATTGATAAAAAAAGGAATATGTGAGAAAATTACGCATAATATGAATTAATATTAATAATTTATAGCGATATATAGTGGTAATTTATAGTGATAATAAGAAAATCTAATTTTGTATACAACAATATCTACGGCAGATTAGATGAATTACATTTAAAAAATTTCTACACACCTTTTTATCTCTTTTTTATACCAATTTCATTTTTCATGATTTAAAAACTCGGAACCATAGATTAGAAATATAATCTTAATTATTATATAATAATTAAATGATATAAATTAGTAATCTTAATTAAATTCGTAAGTAGATTAGTTATCTTATTTAACATAGAACACATTGGAAGACACGAATTAATTAATTAAATATTTCAATGGGATTCAATATTTGTTCAAAAATCTTAATTGAATCTTATCGAATATCTTAATTGAATATTTTAATTGAAGGTACTAGTAAATAAAAATGAAATAACAATTAATTACTAAGTATCATCTTATCTTAACAATTAGTAACGTTTTGTTATTTTTGAATTTTTTTATCTATCACAGATTATGATTGTTATCTTTTTTCGTAATATTCGTGAGATAAAAAGACCGAGTTCCATTCAATTTGTTTGATTTGTTGAATACAACGATTCGAAGAAAGGAAGGGGTCTATACATCTCTGAGGGGTTTCCCGATCGCGTTATTTTTCGTTTAAAAACCGACGTTTTTTCGTGATTCGCATTCAGTTATATTTTGAACTACGAGCTAACGCGGTGTCCAGCATTATGAAATCGTTCAATTTTTTAGTATTTACAGTGTACGTTTTCATTTTATTTGTTCAGCCTGAAAATGTTTTCGGATTACCCGATGTCAATGCTGGTAATGAGATTTGCGATTGTTTTAATTTGTTTATTCGAACGAAATGTGCAAGTGTTTATCAAAATAATAAATTTTTAACATCTCTAATTAGGTTTTTATTACAATAATTTTGTATGTACACACACACACACACACACACACTCTACAACACTTTCTTTACCATCACATAAACCTGAATGAAGAGAGTATAAAATCAACCCACCATACATTTAAGACACACACATATAAATACGAAGTTACTTATTAAAAGTAACTTTGTATCATTAAGAATCTTTCATTAGTTTCCTCAGTTCTTTGCATAAACTATATGGATATCTAAAAAAAGAATGTTATTTTAATTACACGTAGCTAGACCAAACATCATAAGCAGGAGTGACTGGCATGCAAGACCAGCGAATGGACACGAATTGCTGAAAGTGACACCAACACCTTACGTGATTGTTCATCACGGAGGCTCACCGCAATACTGTCACAATAAAAACACATGTTCCCAGATCGTAAAAAGCTATCAAAACTATCATATGAATAATAACGGCTGGGCCGATATTGGTTACAACTTCATCATTGGCGAGGATGGAAATGTCTATGAGGGTCGAGGTTGGAAATATGTCGGAGCGCATGCACCTGGTTATAACGCCAACAGCATTGGAATATGTATCATTGGTGATTTTACTAGTAAGTATTTTGTAATTTTATGGTAATTGTAATTTAAACAAATTTTGTAGAATTTAAACAAATTTTTATGCGAAATTTTAAGCGAGGATATCGAAAAATATGTTGAAACTTGACGTACATATGTTGAAATCTGATATAAAATTCTAAAATTTTAATTTCCTAATAAATAATTACTCAAGATTGTTATATTTACAGTCATTACATTCTAAAATTTTAATTTCCTAATAAATAATTACTCAAGATTGTTATATTTACAGTCATTACATTCAAATTACATTCATTTACATATGGTTTTGTAAATAGTTTATCATACAGAGTGAAAACCATCAGTTTATAATTATCATCAACTAGTCTAAATTTAAACTAACAATAAGTCTAATAGCACATAATAATTATTTCTGTAGATCGTCTTCCCAATGAAGCAGCTCTGAAGGCACTGAATGCATTGATTAGTTACGGAGTATCCAAAGGGAGTATCAGTCACAGTTACCACGTTCTACCACATCGACAAGTCACATCCACTGCCTGTCCAGGCACTAAACTATACGAGTATGTTAAGAAACTTCCACGATGGACTAACAATCCTACAATAAAGTCCTAACGTATAAATTAAACAATTTGTCGTTAATCACATAAATGGACGGAAATATCGTGAATAAGAAAAGTAAACTCTAATGCACTTTATGATAACAATATCTTTGAAATAATCTTGTAAAATACGTATCATGTAATTTTTCGTATTAATATAAGAAATATAGCATGAATGTTCGATAAAATTTTATATTTTTCATATTTATTAGTGTAACCTTTCACATCTCCTGGCAATCTCTCACGTAATAATTCATATTGACGCATGCAGGAAAATGAACTTAAATATGAAAATAAATAAATTATTGTGTGACTTATTACTGTTATTGTTTCTGTTTGTTTCATGAAATTTTATTTCATCATGTGATCTTCGATATCGGAGACTAGATTTTCATTTCAACAGATTTAACTGAGTTTTAATTGATACTAAAAACTTAACAACGTCAAAGAAATTGACGTCGTGATTTTTATTAAGAGAAAAAAGTATTCGTATTACAATTTGTCAGACTGCTCTCTAAAGAAAAAAGTTTCAATTGGAATGATAAATTATTATTTAAGTTTCACAATGTCGTTGAAATGTCAACGAAACAGAATCTATAAGAAGTATTGCACAATGTTTCTCTGCAAGTTCAATTTTTTCATGCTACTTGCTTATTTTATTTTAACGAAGATAACAGCAAATATTAAACTGATTTCTTTATATGAAATGGATCTTACGGACATTTGAGCGTATAATGAGAAATCCCCTCTTTTACTGACACGGTCAAAGATCAATTGAACTAATCGTACGGATTTTATATGCAGAATTTAATGCACAATGTCAGTACATCTCGGCGAACGAAGATGATCAAGTCAACAGTGATAATCTTTCTGCTCGTTAGTTGTCAAGTGTTCTTGTGTGCTGTGCATAAGACGCCTGGTAATAAACTGTTGCTTGAGAATCGTTGAAAATTATACTATTGAAGCAATCTGTCACATAGTGTGACGATTACAGTGGAAGTGTTTAGATCTCTTCTTTTACGTTTTAGTTTTCGAATCATTTTTAGTGTTTCGAATTGACGAAATTGTATATTCGTATCTGCATAACATTTTCGTCTTGCTTTCTCTATCACGATCCTTTTCCAAGTGAAAATAAATATCACTTGCAAAAGATGGATTGTAAATATGAGCTTAAACCAGATCTGCATGATGTACAGTAAATTATATAACGATCTTTTGATCGTGTGTCTAATTCGAAGATACAGTTACTTAACAGAAAAATTCTACTTGAAATCTACAATAAATTTCCTTTAAAAGAGAATGTTTCCTTTATCATTTTTACAAATTCTTATCTTGTCACTTATTGACTCGTAATGTCAAGAATATTTACTTATTATTTACTATCGCTCCATTATCGTTATTTAGTCCTTAGTATAACTCTCTGTTAAAAATATTCTAAGTAATAGTCGTTTTACCTGAGATTTCCCGCGTAAAAGATTAGATTGTTAAGTGCTCGTGGTAAACACGGAAATGTGATCATCGTTGTTACGATGACACTGTTCGCGCATAAAACACTAATTGTAAGATAATCCATTGCAATTATAAAACATACTTAGATCCGATCTTTTAAAGGAAATCATTATTTTAATTATTACCACACACAGATGCACGATGCACCTCATTAAATTTACCTATTGTCCAAGTAAAAAGAAATCGAATGACAAACATGACAGTGACTGCAGAATCTTTGCTCCAGTTGTCGAATTAAATGTACAAATGAGCATAATTGCTCGAAATAAATTATTTCTGTAAAATTTTCAATATTATTAGTCTCTTCTTTCATTTTCTGTTCGACGACTGAATTTTCGAACTTTCTTTATTATCTAGTACGCCCAAATATAATATCGAGATCACAATGGGGAGCCAGGAGACCAAGCTCAGTCCGGAATCTTGCGGAAGACCCTGCCCCATTTGTTGTAATTCACCATTCAGACAGCGATAGCTGCATCACTCAAGCGATTTGCCAAGCGAGAGTGAGAAGTTTTCAGGTGAGCAAATTAAATCAGTCTTTTCCACTGCCATCAGCGATTAAACGAGTGGCTCATCAAATTAAACTCACACGTGCACAAAAATTGACTTTTCTTTCTTTGTTCACGCATTTAGAATCACCATATGAATAATAAAAACTGGGCAGACATAGGTTACAACTTTTTGGTTGGAGAAGATGGAAACGTTTACGAAGGAAGAGGATGGGGCAAACACGGTTCACATTCGAAACCTTACAACTCGAAGAGCATTGGAATTTGCATAATTGGCAATTTTAACAGTAAGTTTATTGTTCACCATATGTGACGTCGTCTTTGTTGTGTAATGCTGAAAAATTAAATCGTTTAACTTTCTCAAGGAATATTTTTTAATAATACACACACACATATATATATATATTTTGAATTAAAATTTTTACGAAAATTCATTGAAATATTCGCAGATCATAATCCAAATGCAGCAGCAGTAAAAGCAGTTCAGGATTTGATCGAATACGGCGTGTCTCTTGGAAAGATACAAGAAAACTACACGTTGCTTGGCCATCGGCAAACAACGCAAACCACCTGTCCAGGTGACAGTCTCTATCAATTGATTCAAACGTGGCCTCACTGGTCGTCAAACTAATAATAATTTTTCAATGGAAAGCATTTCTACAGGACAAAATTTATTTCAAAAGCTGTGTTGTACATGTCTTCGATTCTCTGTTTTAATGTCGAAAATTATTACGAAATTATTCTTTCACTAATTATACGTAAAGCGTTACAACACGATTCACTGAATTGTCATAAGTATCCTCCTCTGTCCTAACGCAAATATCCACGTGAGAGAAATCGGGTGAATTTGTCTTAACGTTGTTGTAATGGCTCTTGTCTCTAGCCTGAGGAACACGATGCAATTATGTTACAATGAGAATAAAATATCAACGTTTAAAACTATAATGTACCTCAAGTGGAATTTTCCGTAAGAATTTTTCGTTTAATTCTGGAATACATAATTTTGTCCCATATGGTATCCCTGAGTCGAGGTCCATGGAGACCGTCACGAATTCCGCACGTTCATCAATATAATCCTACAGTAAAATGTGTTAAATGTGTTAAATAAATAACAGAATCCTATTGTGTTATAAAAATAAGAAACGGTACATTCAAGTGTTTTATTGAAAACGAACCTGCAGAGTCCTTAATTTCTTCATTCTAGCATCCAAGTAATCAGATTCGTTGTCGCTATCAAAAACGGGATAATAAGCGGCCAGAGTCACGTTATAATGAGCACGACCGCTACAGCTGAGCTCAGGTCTGCTTGTATCTATTTCTGGTATAAATTAGTTATTTGAAAAAAAAAACTTACAAGCACAAATAAAAATGCAGATATAAAAATTTGTTGCTGTATAATTACCGCTATTAGTAGAAATGAACGAAATAAAAGACACCGCACATGAAAAAATTAACATTCGTTTCTCCATTATGTTAATCATTATTTTTCACCGCAAGAACGATCACTTAGCAGGCCAACGTTCGTACTGATCAACTTTGTTGCTTCAATTTACAAAATATACCGTGTCAGCTGATGTGTCCATCAGTGGAATTTGTCAATCTTTCAGAAATCAAAGACAAAAGCGTCGATTAATGTTTCGATTAAAATTCGCGCAACTTTGTACAAAATTGAAAAATTGTTAAAATTCTATAACCAGCTTTGCACTTGAGATCCTTGCAATTATAAGAATACAGTTATATAAAAACACCAAAAGTCACTTTACACAGTTCTGGTTTACATATTTCGACATCGATTCTGTGTATATTCGTGCTCATTCGTATAATGAAAAATTGAACGACTAAGTCAGCCGTGAATCGTACATAATGCATGTAAGAAGAAAACAATTAATTTAGTTGAAGCACGGCGGATTTTCAAATCTTACGATAAATATATATTTCTTACATATTTATATTCTAGAGCAGATGATAAATTCCATGTGTGAATTTTTCTTCTTTCAATATTTTTCCCTCTTCAAGAAATTATTATCTTTTTAACCGAGACATATTTTTTTCAAACTTAGATCTAATTGATAATCATGTATTATGATAGATATATTTAAATGAATAATTTAAGTTTGACGGATCGCATTAATGATAAAATTTCATTACCCTCTTGTTACAATGCCAGGGTATAGGGTGCCATACTCTTCTTGAATAATGAAAATCATGTTTGACTGGGACACGTGGAAAACTACGCGTTGCTAGTCGACCGACAGATCCCTTAGCATTCGTATGTGTTTTTGCTTTATCGTGAAATCTTTCTCATTATGGATACTCATTATGGATAGTTATAATGGGGAGAAACTGCTGAAATAACCACCGGTTATAAAGTTTTTCACAAAAAATGGTGTAACTTGGAAGACATAAAAATGGTTTGTTTCTAGTAAAATATCTATACACACTTATTTTGCCATTTCATTTTTGGTTTGCATCAAAAAAGTTAAACATTTTTCTACGTCTTTCCACGCTTTTTCACCTAGTTGTTCATTTATTATTATTGTTACTACTATTATTATTATTATTATTATTATTATAATACACGCGTGATATGTTGAAAAAAAGTTTCATAAAAAATTAATAACACCCACAATGAATATGTTACGTTTTAAGTAGATTTGTACTTCTTTGTAACAAAAATTCACTTGTAATATTCTTTTCGCTTAAAAACATCGAGTTTACCTTGATTTGATTCTTCTTCTATAAGTTAAAAATACCCTGTAGGATGATCTAACATACTTTCCAATTTTTTCGTTTCAATCAAATACACTTGATTGAAACAAGTCAAGTCAATATCAAACAATTCACGCGAGTGTTCCCCGAGGATTTTTTTCTTTTGCACTATTTAATGATCGCACATTTTATCAATGGTGACACGACCGACCCAAGATTCACGCAACATATCAGATCGATATGTCATTGCTCCAGAGTATCGATTCCGCTAGTCGAGCTGCAAGTTAAATAAGTAAACGAGGTAAACGACTAGCGAATGAACAAAACAATCGCTGAAACTATCTCAGAGCATCGAATGTACAAGTCGATAATCGATAAATAATAGTTAAATTCGTGACCATTCCAGAGTTAACGGGAACGTTATCGATGAATAAAAAATATGTGTACCGTCCAGAGGATTGTTCACGTTACAAAAAGGAACGATTTCATAAACATCTGCCATAAATATTTATGAAGGAAACGAAGATTATTAAATATGAAACAACTCGTTTAACTATTTACCCGTTAATAGGACTTTGAGTTCTTCCCTTCGTACTTCTTTAATAATTCTTTTAAATGTTATAAGTTTGTTTGAAAAGAAAGGGAAAGTTATAAAGTGTCTTTAAGATCATAATGTGAAAATGCGATTTGACATTGCACGATACACTTTCCCTCAAAATTAATGCGCTTTCAATTTCTATGTTTTGCTTGATGGTTTGACTTTGCAATTTAAACGATTAGGATTATCTCGTATCTTAATTTTTAAGTCGTTGAAGAACTTCGTTTCGAGGGGAGTCACCGAATAATTTCACGTTTGGCGTTTGGCCTTGTACGACTTGTACAACCAGAGTGACGGAGACCTCTGAATCTAACTTTCCTTATTCTCATTTGTGTTATCTCATCTTACTAACTAACACACTCAACTTGATTATTTGCTAATAAGAAAAAGAATATTTCAGGAAATATCGACAAGTAGAACGAACAAGCGACAAAAAAACTCTCCTCCTAAAATTATGATTTCTCTTGTATAACCAATCTCTAAAAAGTTAAACTACATTCGAAATTCGACATTCAAAATTTCCGTAATTAACGATTGTAAAAAAGAAGGTTCAATTTTATTATCAAGTAGTTCCTTAAAGTTAAATGATCTTCCTAATCTTGAATAATTCAACAATTATTTTCTTGCATATATATACTTTGCCTCGGAAGGAAATACAATCAAAAGATTAACATCAACTTAAGACACTATGCTCAGAAGGTCAAAGAAGAATTTCCTTATAAATTCACGATGGATGATTCCTCATTTTTCTACATCTCCATACAATGGCGTCCGAAAGAAAGTTCAAAAGAAAGCAGTACAGAGCAGTAGTAGTATAATTTCACAAGAAAGGATCCTGCGTAGTATCACATTTTCCTTTCTCGTTAGTCTTTTCCGCGGTATATTATTATACCTGCGAACGTCCAGACTCGGATGACCCGGTGAATCTAATGAAAACGTGTTCACAGGTGGCGTCGCGACGCCTGGCATCGACTTCATTCGCCGCGCAACTCTTCCTCGTATCGCACACGTTTTCTTTTTCAACTCGCCTTCGGCGATTCATTCCCATTTTGTTTTCGTGGCGTTGCGACGCGTTTCCCTTCCCATCTTGCACCGTTCAATATGACAAGAATCTCGTGACACAAAGTCCATCAGGTAATTTCTCGCGAGCGATTAAACGCTCGGCGAAAATAAGGATGACGATAACGCACGATGCACATGGCTGTTTTTCAATTCATCACAAATTTTACACTTACGTTTGCACTTGTATTACAGTCTGTGTACTCACGTGTGCTTAAACATTCTACTTTTTTTTTTCTTTTCCTTTGAAAATTAAGAAACACGACACACATGAATGTAATTGGTGAGATAGCAAGTAGGAACACTTGTCTACCGGTTATTTAATAATTATTAGATTTAGGTTTCTAATTTTGATTGAAAGAACGCAAGTGCTTCTAACAAAATTGACGTTGATTTTATATTATATTAGGTATATCTCACGTTCGTCGTATCAAAATAATTCGTATAGAATATATTTTTTGTAAATTGTGTTGGTTATCTCACTCATTATAGTAACACGTACAATTTCTACAGAACTACTGTATTATTTGCCTTTAACAATAAGTATTATAATACATTATAAAATTATATGTGCGATTAATCAACTAACCATACATCTTATCATAACGTTCATCGACTCTATTTATCATCGTTATAAAAATAGTAAGCTATTTCGCAAATTGGCTCTTGTATATTTAAAAAATTAAAATGGAATATTTCCTATAAGTGGACGAAACCATTTAAATAAATGAATTGCCCACGTGTTCCATTTAACGAAATGAACGAAATCGTTCATCTCTGTTCGAGTTTCGCAACGCAAGTAAAAACACATAATTTACATCGATAACGTCATAGCTGTTACGTTTGGTCTTACACGTGATAAACGAACCAGGGGATCCACCGCTGATTATTGGACTGGAAAAAAATAAAATTACACTGCTTCGATATGTATTTTTACTCTTCGAAGATAACTATTTATCTTCTTGCATTATTGCTGTCGCTGTCATTGTTATTTTCCTATTTTGTTTGTTGACCTTTCTTTAAAGTGATTTATTTTTCAATATCTAACATCGCATAGATGCCTGCTCAAAGTTAAAAGAATGAAATTTCCAAATTGTTCGATTGTTTAATTTGACAATTCTTATTAATTAGTTATTATTAATAATTATTGAATCAGTAAGACACATCGTGGAAAACTTTAATCCGCGAATATAGTACCCGTGTTGAATAATCTGCGACTCGATACGAACTTGGTCAGACACAGTTTCGATTGGATAAGCCTGATGGAGAATCAATAGCGAGCGTTTCAAGGATCGATCCATGGCCACCTATTAGCAAGCATTCGTTTGCGACTTCCTGAATGAAACGTTTCAACACCTTTTCCCGGCGATTTAATAAATTTTTCAGTTCAGTGGAAATTATGAAATCAACCAACTTTCATTTCCAGGCACAGATGAACGCAACAACGTTAAAGTCCTGGTTGCTACGAGGAGAACTTGAGAAACTGGAACATGTCGTTCTAGAAGGACGTGGGGCACGGCTGTTGGGCGAGCATTCTCCGGATCTCAGAACTAGAGTCTTCCTGAAAGGACTCCCAAATTACTTGGTACAGTATCTATCACTCACTCGCGATAAATTTCAAAGAAAAGAGAACAAAAAGTCTACGGACTAAATGTTTCTAGAAATATATGATTCTTATTTCTCTGTCCTTATTTATCTTTCAGACGAAAATCTCTCACGTTCACGACGCGGTTTCACGTGGTTCTCTAGCGGAAGTGCAGAAACTTATATCGGAAGAACCTAAAAAGAAACTGGCCATTGCGAAAGATTCAGCTGGCACTCCGTTGCTTCACAAAGCAGTGTATCACGATCGTCAAGATATCGTCGAGTGGCTTGTGCAAAATTTTCCCATCGCCGTTCAGCAGAAAGACAGAGTAAATTTTTATCATACGATTTTCTTCCTTATTTTCCGTGTCATTTTTTTCCGACAGTTCCTTTCGCATCGATCTTTCACAATTTTTAAGTATCTTTAAGTATTTTTCGAAAGAAAGAAAATTTAGAACATAAAACATCTACGTTATTGATTGAACTTTTCCTGAACTGAAATTACCTGCAACTTTGACTTACTCGAGAACACTTAACCCATAATTAGATGATCAGAGAAAATAATTTCAAGCGAAAATATAATAGGTGTTGCTTATGTGTGTATAAAAAAAAAAATCATTTAACATGCTAGCTTCTTTTATCTTATTTTTATTCTCATAAAAGTGCAAAAACAAAGAAGAAATTCCATAAAAATAAAATAAACTGTCTGAGTGACGATCTTGAACTTTTAATCCAGTCTAAAACCAAGTATCACTCGGTCTGTCTATTTTTAAAACTATAATTTTCTCAAAATTTACACAAATATATACACAACTTTTCTACCTGCTACCGATCGTCTAGAACAACGAGTCGTAATGAACTGATCAGTTAATACATTTTTCCTGTAATTTAGAATTTAGAAGATCGTTGAAACGTCACGATCCTATCGTGTCGATAGTGTTTGTGCTTCTCTTCCAACCGGTACATAATCCAACCGGTGAATAATCGAACAGTCGTTTTTCGTAGCGACGCTCGTCTTTTCTTCATCGCGTGACGCGGCTAATAACAAAGTGTAAACCACCTGTTCTTCTCTGCAGTCATCCGACTTCGTGTTCAAACGCACGCAGCCAGAAACGTGGCAAACGTTCGCCTCTCACCCCTTTTCCACCCTTGAGCTCCATTCAATTTCTCTATATTCGCCATTTAACCATCGGCATTTGCGTTTTACATCACGCCACGCTTGGAATATTCATCTTTTAATGGCCGCCACGCTTCCTTTTATCGGGAACTATTGCTAGCTCAAGTTGGTTTCAAGGTAATCGCACGAATTAGTAACGAGTACCTCTTCTAGAGGTAGAAATTGAAAAATTCTAGAGACAGAAATTCGGCTCATGAGATTTCTCGCTGATCACTTTGATTTGCAATATACGTTTTTAAGTTTTTTTTTTTTTTTTAGGCGGATACGTAGCTACAATTGAGATTTTCAAAGAGTCTCTGAAATGGACAAAATTTTGATTAATTAATAAGAATGTCGTTACGAATGTCCTGATTCATAAAAGAAAAATTGAGTTTCTCTAAAACCTTACAGACAATCGCAATGCAAATTTTGTGTTTTTGATCGTTAGGAAGGAAGAATCGCGTTACATTATTGTGCTGCTTGCAAGGATCCTGACCCGATTTGGGATGTCCTCATAGAAAACGACAGTGACGCGAGCATCATCGACAAAAAGGGCAATTCGGCAGCATATTATTTGGAACATAGTTCGGAGCTCGAGCTACCGGAAGCGGAGAACATGTCCCGCCGGAAGACCAGCTTTGGCAAGGAACGTGAGTGATTTTCAAACATCTACAAGGACCAGTTTCTTTTTGAAATTTAAATCGCTTACGTTGAAATAATACAAATTATGCAAAATTAGTCGGAAAATTTTACGGTGATATTGGAAATCGTTCGACTTTCTAATATTTCAATCGTACGAGTGGCAACTCGATTGAAAATAGCTCGGAAAATAGATCAGAGACAACCTTGCATCATGCACTTCGCACAGTTACACATTCCTTGACTTATACCCTATACAATCTTCTTCTCGGTAATGACCCGGAAGAATCGATAGAACTTAAATTTGTAAAGCTAGGAAAACCGTTTCGATCGATAGGATGACATGCTCTGGCCAACGAATGACCAACGAAATATTTAGAAATCCTCAAAAATCGTCACAAGTCGGAAGTTTTATTGACATTACAACGGTATAAAAATAGTTTCTCTTTGATCGGAGTTTGTTAAATCACGAAACGTTAGACGAATTACGATTGTTCAAGAGTATATCTACTTTGATTAATTTTTAATTAACTCTGACTAAGTTTCTAGCAGAATAAGTTTATATAACATAAGATGTTCGAAAGAAAATTACTTCCTTATGCTGTCGTGTGTTGTAAATATTTCGTTTGGCAAGTTTATTACCTTAAAAACTATGACATTCTTCTATTATCTATTCGAAGCTGTATAATAAATTGTTCGGAGAAAATGTGGATAATAGTCAAACAAAGTTGAAGGTGAATCTGCGCGATAAATCAACTGATGGACGACTGATGGAAGTAGAATGACGATTCGTTTAATTTTATTTTCAATGTTCAATGAGAAACGAATTGAAAGAAACGAGAAATTAATTAAATCCTTAATTCAAGTCATTTCAAACTTTCGAATTTCCTTTAAATTAATCCTTTGATGTTCATTTCAAATTAAAGTGCTCGAGGAACTCTGATGTCTCTTTCATCTTTAAAAAAGATTGTTCGTTGAATAATCAACAATCTTTGACAAAAGACTTCAAATAACGAGGTCGTGCCACTCTGAATCGTGAACATGGTCTTTTACTGAATTATTGAAATCGACAATGAAACTATTACTTACTTACAGGGATAACTAATTTTACGTGATAACTTATACAAACTTAGCGTGTAATGCGTACAGTGCACACCGGCATTCCTACCAACATTGATTGATCTATTTACCAAGAAAGCAAGGGATATAACGTGTGTAGGTAAACGTGTCAGTAAGAGACAGGGTCCGTGCACTCGGTTAGCTTATCAAAAATTTATTCATTCATTGGCTCATGCGACCTATATAAGGATGAAGTAAAACGTCATCCTCGGGAGATAGATAATAATATTCATTAAATCGAATTCCCATTTTTTGTAAATTTCTGGAATTTAGTAATTCAAGTTTAATTTAATTTTGTTTCAACTTCCATACTGGCAAATTTTATTCTTCCTATCTGAATCGTGGCGGTTATCGATTTATTACGTTACGTAGAAACTGATGACTCATTAATGTAGAATAATACTGATAATACTGAGCAATAATTTAATAATTATGATTAATTTATTAAAATGTTCAAATTACGAAGACCTGTTGTCAGATCAATCTATTAAAAATAATGAGTAAAAGATTTGAAAGCCAAAAATTGAATTGCCGAGTTTTCATCCCGAACTTTTACTGCAGAAACTCAACAACAATTCTTAGCAAAAAGTCGATATCCACTGGTAACAGAAGCTCCCTGAATATCTAAAATATTTATCACATTTTCTCAACACGCGACGTGCAGTTGCAAATCTTGTCACTCGTAAATCCTTAATGAAGCAGTTATGTCTTGGAGAGAAAAGGTCACGTCGTTATTTTATACTTGTTTCATGTGCTTGTATACGAGCTGCACTTTTGATTCATATTTGGTAAAGTTCTACAGTCTAATCAGCTGAAACCCGTACACGTTTAATGAAAATTTTTAATAAAACTTATTACACTAGATTATCTATCAAATTAAAGTCGAGTGAAATTGAAAAGAGGGTAAAGAAAAATTAGAGAACAAACAAAACTTCAAAAATAAGATAATACTGTGATGCTTAAATAATGGACTGACCATGCTTTTCTTCAGTATTGGACTTTAAACCTTCCAACATAAGAATATGGATTCACAATCGGGATATAGGGAAACTCCAGCAAGTTTTATGGGAAGGCCACGGAAACAAATTACGTATGGAAACCAGCAACAATCCACGAGTAAAAAGATTTTTAGAAGCTGTACCGTTCATAATGGTTCGTATTGGTATCAAAGTTTCTATTATAACCGTATATACTGTTCAAAAATATTCCTTGACTGTACGATTTGTTTACAAATTGTTTTACAGAGTACGGTAAAGGACGTTCACGCAGCTGCAACAAACAACGATTTGAAGGGACTGAGGAACAAAATCGAAGCCACATCACCAATCATTCTTTGCGCTAAAGATTGCAATGGTCTAAATGTCTTGCACAAGGTACAATAATTAGTTGAGATAATTTTATTGCCTATTTTTTTTTTTTTTTTTTAATTACTAAAACGTTCGAAACATCGTAATAATTAATAGGCTGCTGGTTTGGGTTACACGGAAATCGCAAGAGAAATTCTCGCAAAATATCCCTCTGTTGTGGAGGCTCAAGACAACGAAGGGAAGACACCATTGCATTATGCAGCTGCAGCGAAGGACGATGGAACTTTGTATAATTTAATAACGGAATACGGGGCCGACGAAAGCAAACTGGATCACGTGAGTCATAATCTAGAAGAAAAGATGACCCGATCGTAATGAAACGTAGAAATTAAAGAGATATATTAGAGGAAACTAACAATTTCTTTCTAAGCGTATGCTAATTTCTATGACAGATAAAATATCTCAAAAGCAACTTTCTATAAAGGGTGGGGTCTGATATAATTTGAAATAATCAAATTGAATTTACTCGCGGAATTTATCAATCAGAAACAAAAAGCGCCGGCGTTTTACAAAAATCGACCATCAGACGTCGACCAGTCGCTGTTAACTGTGATACCGGAAGCTCCTCGAGTTGCGGGAACATCGTACCCCAAACACTGGGACTGGAGGATTCTAGAAGCGGAGGATGCTATATCCAGAGGAATGAAAAAGGTCAGCAGTGCGGACATTGACAGTGCGTTTGGCAGTGCGGAATCGACAACGAAAAATTTCAGTAGATCTATGGAGCAGGTATTGCAGTACATTTCTTCTAGTAAATACACTTTGTAATTAGGCAAATTTTCTCAAAATGACGCGTGATTTCTTTCTTTGAATTGGGAAACTCTTTCTACAATTCTGTGACGTAAAACTGTCGAAAGAGTTGAGAAAGAACTTTGAAAGTTAACTAATCGTTTTAAAAAAACAGATAAAAAATATTGAGGAAGATTGTGACAAGGAGGAAAACGCGGGAGAGGAAGAGAACGCGGAAAATACAGAGGACACAGGCGACGGAGAGAACGCAGAACCTACCGAAGACACTGAAAATAAAGAAAATACCGAGAATACTGAAGATACCGAAAACGTAGAGGCAGCGGAGGACGCAGAGAATTCAGAAGAGTCGAAAGAACCAGAAACCACGGAAAATAAGGAAGAAGACGAGGCGGAGGAAGAAAAGGTTGAAGATACGGAAGAAAGGTCTTCGGACGACGACGTGGTAACAGGTGCAGCAATCCCAGAAACCGAGGAAAATCCCACCCCAGAGGACGAAGCTGAAGGAGAGAAGCCAGAGGACACGGAAGATGAGGACAAATTGAAAGAAGAAGAAAAAGAAAAAGAAGAAGAAGAAGAAGAAGAGGAAAAAGAAGAAGGAGGAGGAGAAGAGGAAAAAGAAGAAGCAGGAGAAGAAGAAGGAGAAGGAGAAAAAGAGAAAGAAGAGTCAGCAGACGCGGAAGACACCAGCAAGCAGGAGGAGGAGGAAAGCAAAGTGGAGCAAGAAGAACGAAACGAGCCGAGTACAGGCGATTCTGGAGTCGATGATCCAGGGAACGACGAAGATCAGGTACAGTCACTCTAACTCCTTAAACGAGATCGAATTTTCAGGAATTCTCTAGCACAAAAGCACAAACATGTATTTATAACGAGCCTTACCTATATCGTCAAACGAGAAATATAAAAATAAGCAATGTTATAATGTGATCATACAATTAATATCAGTTATAAGCGAAGATATATAAAGAGTGAAAAGGCATTGAACGTTGATAGGCTCTGGCTTTTGTTTATTCTTTCATTTAGTCAGCTAGCTTGTAGATGTAATGAGCAATTTATGCTTGCTGTTGTGAGAGGATGTGTAATACTATAATTAATTAATTATAAACGCACAAATATATACCAATAAATAAACAACTGAGCAAGGAATTTCTGTTATGTGACTTTTGCACACTACAGACCCAGACACAAACATATGGATATAGTTTTTCCGTTTTGTTAATTTTATTTCATAGTATACGATGTTTTGCTTAATTGTTTCGATATTTTGTTATTGTGTTTCTTGCAAAATTAGTCGTACCAAAACCAATGGTAATTCAAATCTGAAGTACCAAAATTGACTTGTGACGAATATGATATAATTTTCTTTCACTGATTGTTCTTTCATTTCTACAAATTTGAAGTAACAAATATACCGATTGACATTATTACGTGCATTCGCAAAAATTCAAATATTAAGCATTCGATTCCTTGGAAATTAATCTTGGAAAATAACTCAATCGACTCAAGAATTAAAACATACATAGTCATGTACAATCGTCGAATCATCAATCTACAAAACTATCCTCTAAATAATAATTCACGGTTAATCAACTCAAAGTCCTATTCGAAACAAATACTACTTTACTCGTCCTATTACTATTCAATTGTCAAAATGAACTTATACCAAAAACATCAAAAACGAACGGACAAAACAAGGAATTTAGTCGACAGTTGATCACGTTTCGCACAGACAGTGAAGTGTGCCGTATGCATGACAAAACGAAAAAGTAGAAAACGATCGATTTAGCGTACATAGATTGCGAGATGCGATTAATATTTTCCTGTATCGATCGGCACGAGTCGTTCGTGCGCATGGTTTTGCACCTGGAAATGATTAGCAGGTGATCGTCGGCGAACACGAGGAGCTTCCGGAGGCAGAACTAAATGAGGGCAGCATGACGGCGGACCCGGAAATCGAAAAACTAGTGGAGAACGGTAACATGGAGCAATTGGCCTCGTTAGTGCTGAATGGCGAGGGCAGAAGACTGGTCGGCCGACATTCGAAGAATCCAGAGTTGCAGGCATTCATCGATCGTGTCCCATCGTATATGGTATTGCGTATAAGAGTTTCTCAGCCTTATTTTCCTTCTCGATTTCATTTTTATGAATATAAAACTTCGCTCCACTAGACGTCAAATCACGTTAAATTGATCTTGTGCGAGACAATTGACCAAGATAACTTTTAATCGACATAGTTAATTGACAAAACAGACAACTTGCTTCGTAATAACGTCGTTGTTATTGTGGTTTCGATACAATTTCATTTAATTCGTCGAGCCAGAGAATAAGGAAACCAGATATTCCCAACAACTGACTTGTTGGGAATTGGTAGCACCGTTTCAGATGTGATAAACTCATCATTGACTTGACGATCGATATCATCAGATGCTGCGAATTCGATGAGACGTTAACGATCAATCGTTTTTCAGGGGAAAATTCATGCGGTGCATATGGCAGCGCGGGAAGGGAATCTGAGAGATCTGCAGAGTGCCTTGGACCGTCGCAAATTTGCGGTTGCGAGAGATGGATCATCGCCACACGGCGCGACGCCTCTTCACGTTGCTGTCATATTTGGAAACACCACTATTATTAGGTAAATCAACGTAGAAATTTTACATTCTCAACACATGATTAATCTCCACGTGTAACTTCATTTCTATTTCTTCCTGAATAACCTTATCAGCGCGTTTATATCTTTTTTATAATGTATAGCGACTTTGTTGTACGTAAACTGACAACGACACACCAATTGGAAATACGTTGGAAATTAAAATTATCCCGTGACTTGCATTCAAGTTTCATCGATTCTCCCCTTCACGTTCTCTTTAGATATCTAGCAGGCAGGTTTCCAGAAACGACACATGCAATCGATCTCGATGGGCGAACTCCTCTACACTATGCGGCCACCCTCGCAGATAATGGCCATTACTACAACCTTCTACTTCATTTGGGTGCCAATCCTTTAGTTCAAGACAACGTGAGTGCATTCTATTAATAAGCCGAGAAACTGATGGAAATTAAATTAAACCGAGATTAAGATTAGAATCGAATGTCGAATTAAACAAGTTGGTGAAAAGATTGCAGCACCGATGTGTGTATATACATATATATAGGTGTAATTTTGTTGTTCGCACAGTCTGGTGAAAAGGCGGAGTATTACAAGCAAAATCAATCCGATTTCTCCCACAAATCACTCCTCCGTGATTTCGGAGCTAACGAGCAACTCGCCGACGAGATGTTGACGGACAAAGGTATCTCATTCGACCGAGGCATTTACAAGCACCATCGATCACTCCGATTTGTACTACGATCGTTCAGAGCACTTTACGTTTATACTCTTAAAGTACAAGTAGAAGTACAATCTAACATGTTCTCAATGGTAGACCGATTAATAGTTACCAACCATTACGTTGCTTTCTCTTGCACGTGTTAGTTTCAGCATCAACTATCGAAATTGCCACAATCTTTTTTAATACGAGATAATATTTTTTAATACGACAAACTAAAAAGTATTTGCTCGGCAAGCAGAGAACAGAATTGAGCTAATTAATTTGAAAACAAAGATACACATATAGAGATAGAAATGATATGAAAGATGTTGAAAGAATTAATTAGCGATGGGAATTCTCAATAAGAATTTGAAATTCAATATGTGCGAAATGTGATGTATGAAAGTACTTACTAGAGTTTTCTAAATGTAACGCAATGCAAAGTATTCCTTCCCATCGCTGTTAATGCTCCTGACGAGAAATTTGTTGATTAATCTATCCCGCGGCTGTTCACGTTTCTCTCCATTTGTTCCACCCTGGACGTCTTCACGCTGGTGTGCACGCTCGAGGCAAAATAGTTCCCGGAGGCGACACGTATTCCGCGCGCCGAGACATTACCGAACCAGAGACCCTAGCTACCTTGGAGAGATGTTTCCGTCTTCTGATCGGCGTAAGACACGGTATGACACCAAAATCAGCTGGGAGCTCCGCTACACTGATTGGCCGTTGCCTGAAACGACCCATATTCGATCGTATCAAGCACCGTGTGACACGCATGGACCACAATCTCTTTGATGTGATTTGGCCCGCTTTAAAGAAATACGGCAACTCGACTTACACCAGCAAGCCGGGCAGCGCTTACTCGATGGTCAGCAACGTGGAGGAGGACGAGTCTGTGTCGATAGTGGCGCCCGACTACGAAAGTTATATCGTGTTCGCCGACTTCTTCGATCCTTTAATCAGGGACATTCATTGCGTAACTGCCAGCGGCGATCTTCCCGATCATCCCTCGCCGAGATTCTTTTACAACGAGGACGAAGATGGCGAAGAAAATCTCGACGTGTTGGACGAAGTTACCGTGTCGGCGATCGAGGCGTACGATCTCGACCCTCCGGCCAAATACGTTCAAGCCGCTGTGATCGAGTGTTGCAGAAATCTTGAAAATTACACGTTCCCCTTGACACTTACGGTGAACCAGTTGGAAGAGGTGGAACGAGAGGTCACCAGCGAATTGATGAGCCAAGATATCTCAGGGATGATGGCAGAGGGTAGCAGCGAAGACGAACCTGGAACTTACTTCACCCTCAATGAAATTCTGGATCAACCGAGTCCGATCAGGGCTCAGTTGGCAGCATCTGGTTTACTACTGCCAATTACGGATTTCGAAGTCCACGACGAGAAACGTCTTCACGGGAAGCACTGGCCGTACGGTCGAGGAGTTTACGTGGCATCTGCCGGCGATTTGGCTGCTTGGGTGAACGTTCAGGATCACCTGAGAGTCGTTTGTCGAACCAGCGACAACAGGCCGGGTCTGATCGGTCGTGCCTACGTGAGACTGGCGAAGGTGATGGTGCTACTCGACGAAAGAATGAAATTCAAGAGAGAGAAGAAGCTGGGCTTCCTTAGTGCACGGCCCTTCGCCATTGGCAATACTCTCAGGTTCAACGTGATAATCAGATTCCCCGAACTGTCCAAGGAGTTCGATCATTTGAAGCATCTGTGCGTGGTTCGCGGCTTGAGTATACGCGAAACAGCGAAGCAAGACACTGTCCGAGTTGGTAATCAGCAGTCACTGAGTATTACCGAACTGCAGACCCTTCAAGATTTCTCCAGGGCTGTTTTGAACGTTCTGGCGTTGGAGAAGGAACTGTCGATAAATAATTCGATGAAAATTGCCACCTTGATCGCGGGGATTTTCCGCAGGCGGAACAGCGCCAAACGTTTTCAGAACTAAATAAATCGCGAAGGAGCAACCGAGGCGATTAACGAAATATAATACTTTGTCTTTCATTGTACATATTTTCGAAAATTTTTTTTTTTTTTGTCTTTCTAATTGCCTTTTCTTTTCTTTCTTAACGATGGAATGATACGCTTATACATATGGAATCCTTCTGTGATAATTCATAAGCCAATACGTTCGACTGTCAATTAACTCGCATAGAATGAACTATAGCAGAAGTCATTAGCGTATGTCAAGAGTGAAAGAAAAAAAGAAAAAGAAACGTTGGAAAGATGTGTGTGAACGTTATTCTATTTCTCGTGCACCAAATTACTATAATTAAACGGAAATGAAAGATCAGCTACTCGGAGGGATGCTGGATCGTTCATTAGGTTAGTAAAACGAACGTTATTGGTACATGGACAATTGTTACGACGCTTTGATATATCGTCGCACGACACCATGCTTACGTACCTACGTGAAATGTGTATATGTACCTAAAAAAAAAAAAAAAAAAAAAACACGGAAAATTGGTTACAGAGATTTTATACTGTACAAAACCAAGAAGAGATCGAGAGTCAAGAAATAATCAAAAATTCAAGAGCTTATTTATGTGTATGCACGAGTTCGATGTTCACACGAAACAGAAAATGGCGTAGCACATGTCTTTCCAACTTGATGTATTCAACTTACGATGGACTGTATATTTTTACGAATGACTATCTCTATGTAAATGATTATACATGAACGAAAATCCTCACTCTCCGCTTCTATCAATATGATTTTTATTGTAAAATCCTCGTATTCATTTATATATCTGCATACCGAAATACATATATATATATATATATATATATATATATATATATGTATACCGTGCTTTTGTTTGTACGTGACACGATTTTCAAAATAGAACAACGCACTCTATGTTCACTGTGCACTTTTCGTTTGTGAAACAATTGCTTCTCTGTTATTCTTACATAAGATAAGCAAAAAGAAATAAAGTGTTACAAAACGTATCGCGCTTCAGTCTATCGCGATGTAAATGATTACGGATGATAATTTAAATGATTATTATATTTCACAAAGTGAAACAAGTGCGATATGTTTTTGCATTTTATAGCTTTAGTCGATGAAAATCAAAATATATTTTCGTGTTTCAGACGACAGTCAGATTGATATACCGATATTTCGAGAAGAAGAGGGTCGCTACTTGGCATCGTGTGAGTTGATGTTCAATGAACGAACGAACAAAAATTACGTTGGCTTAATTCAAATGTAAAATAATTTCAAAGTTAATATAAATACGTTTCTACAGCACTCGGCGATCCATTGATAAGAGGTTTGACGGAAGTTGCCAATACTCGTCCAAAGGATCCAGTTACTTATCTGGCTACTTATTTATATAACTTTGCCAATAAGAGCAAAAACAACGAAGAGCAGGTGAATAACCGTAAATATAGAATTTAGATTACCGAGCATCAATAATTCGACAATGTTTTAGGAACCTAACGTATTGATTATTCCTGATCGGCCCGAGGAGAACATAGAAAATATCGAGAACGACAATGGAGATGAGGATGCTGGTTATCCACGATCTCCAATTTCCGACGTGCCAGAATCAGCTTTTAGCAATCCCAACAGAGTATGCCAGAGTCGTAAATTACTTTATAGCTTAACGAATGATTCGTTATATGTAACTGACTTTTGAAAATTAATGATTTTTCAACAAATTTCTTTTCTTCAGGATGAACATGGTCAGAGCGTTATTCACTTCGCTGCCATTCGATCATATCCAAAAGACGGTCTGTTCCATTTGCTTCAAGAAAGCCAAGTTAACGTTGGCTTCAGAGACGAGTTATATAGAACAGCTAGAGACGTGGCTGAATTGGCAAATATTAGAGAAAATATCGACGAAATTGATCGATACGTAGCTTATTTGGCAGCAAGAGGTAAAACTGTTGTCGTTTTAGTCGAGGAAACATTTCGAATAAAAATGAATTCACTGAGGAAACTTTGCTCTCTATGTGTTCAGGTGAAACTGAAAAATTGGTAGAACTATTATTGGAAGGGTACGATCATATTTTGGACGTGGAAGACGAAGGTGCGAACATCGTGGACATCGCTGCGGAACGAGGAAAGGAGGCAACCGTTCAATTTCTTCAATCTATTCCAAATTATGTGGTAAAATCCGCGATATTCATATAAAAATATCTAAAAACAGCACGTCGAATAAATGTTGCTTCTTACTAGACACAACGCGAAGAAGTGCACCAGGAAATCAGAACGGGCAATGTAGCGAAAGTGAAGGAATTGTTAAATAAAAACAACGGGGGAGGAAAGTTGTTAGCAATGGGAAAGAATTCGATGAGCAGATGCGCTCTTCACATTGCCGTGCTTCGTGAAAACGTAGAGATGGTTCGGTACATTGCGAAAACGTACCCAGAAACTTTACGTATAGGTGACAATGTAAGAATTAATTTAATGAACGGCAAGATTAACTTGAAACAATCGCGAGACAAGACAGTGAATTTCCGACGTTTTGTTTCAGTTGGAGAGAACTGCGTTACATTATGCAATGGGTTTACCATCAGTCGAAGAATTAAGCAACATACTTATCAAAGCGGGTGCAAAACGAATAATCAAAGATTTAGTAAGGGATCTCTGTCTCCATTCCAACAAACAATAAATAATGATTTCTGCAGATAGTAATGATTTCTGTCTTGAATTTTCAGAAATCGCGGCAACCATCCTACTACTTCATGAACAAATCAGATATAGAGAGACTTCAAGAGGAAGAGGAAAGTCTGGCCAAGTAGAACGATGCTAATGCAATGCTATTGTTCACGTACACCTCTGAATACTCGTGTGCACAAATGTGACATACATTGAGAAAAAGCATGCATTTGGTAGGAACGAAGGGAATATGCACACGATTATGCATCCACGCGTATTGGGATTATTTGTGAAATTTCGTTTCTCAAAGTGTGTCCGACTTAACAAATAGAAAGCAGCATCTCTCGACTCTGTGTAAAAGTTACGATTATGAATGTAATGACTCAACGTCATGTAATATACGGTACAATACCCATACTATTAATGATACAAATAATAAGAATATAATTCAGTTTTTCCGTATACGTTTCTTTTAATTATCTTCACGCAAGTTCCCCTTTTTTTCTTTTTTACTCTCTGCAAACTTTCAATTACATGGAGGTACAAGGAGAGAATCCTCTCCTTCATTATCTTAGCGCATCTAAATAGATATTGATCGAAGAACGCTGTTGACGATTAAATTCAGATAGGTATATGTTAATATTCATTGATCATAGGGAACGAACGCGAGAATGCGAAGGTTTTCAGATTCTATCAAAGAATATTTGCTAGGAAATGAAATCACGTATCTATCAGAGTACCTATTATACTTCGATGCGTGTAAAACCATTCTAATTGTACGATCTTTTATAAAGTAATTGCAGGTATCTATGATCCAAAGTTAAATGTTCAATAATATTCTTGCTTCATTCTACCTTCCTTCTAGACATAAGAATCGAACTATGCGATCGTTCTTCGAACCAAGCAAGATTTTTCAAGCTCTAATTATTCGATCATTTAATTACTGATAAGATGTAGCACTTTTCTTATTGCTAATCTTCGGCTGAGTTTGTCCTTTTCCGCCAACGTTGAACGCATTTTCCTCGACAATGTCCTCGGTATCGTCGACGATTCGCTGCCATGGCGTGGGATTTATGTACGCTGGTTTGACTTTTTGATGAGCTGATAGCGGATGAAAATCTCGATGAATTTATGTCATTTGAACAGAAGAAAATGAAGGAAAACTAACGTAGAAGTCCTTGCGTGGCAGGTCTCGGTTTGTTCTTCGCCATCTTTCGCCAATTCTCGTAGGCTCTCGTGCTCTTCTCCAACCTTTTTTTTCTCTCTTCTTCCTCCTGTTCTCGCTTCATTTCCTCTTTCTTCCGGCGTGCTACCAACACCGTAAATACACCAATTATCGATGAAACGAAGGAAAATCGATGCTTTCTTTTACCTTTCTCCTCTTCCTTCTTTTTACGAGCCCACTGACGAAGATACAAAGTCTTCACTACAGCCGTTTTATCCTCCACCTCTTTCAATTGCTTTTGCAATTTCAGTTCTTTCTCCATCGCAGCTTTCTTCTTCTCCTCTTCCTTCTTCTTTCTCTCGGACCACTTTAAGAAATTCTCCCTCTCTCGGCATTCTCTCTCTTGTTTCTCGCGAGCCAGTCTTTCCTCCTCCATTTGCCTCTGTCTCTCAAACAGATCTTCTTCCTCCTTTCTTCGTCGCGCCATTTCTTGCTTCCTTCGCATCCACTCGCTGTAAGTAATCTTCTTGACAGCACCCGATTCGTTCGGTCTGCTTTTCGATATTCTCATGCTAGATATCGATGAAGAAACTTCCACGGTTCGGTGTCCATTAAACGTGTACCTATACTCGATGAGGAACGACATTTTGATTTTCGTTTCGGTCTTGAATTTAATATCCATATTTTTCTTCTACTATTAAATGCCGGGTATATACAATAAATAATAAATATGTAATAAAAAAACTCTCGTAAAGGATAACTACGAAAAATAATGAAAGCGATGCTCGTTTACAATACTGTGAATAATGAAATGTACCTCTGTTCCACTTCCGGCTCGATTTGCCCAGTAGAACAAACATCGTAACTATTGCCCGTTCTCTCGGCAATTTTACATCGTCTCTCGACTCGATTCGCCAGTTTACACGAAGTCACGGACTTGGAACGAACAATATCGGACTGTAAGGATGCGGATGTAGTCGGTGAATTTAAGGAATAACAACGATACGTTTCTTGAGCTGAACCTTGGTCGCCAGCATGGTCCATAAACGAGGCAGCCAGATCGTTGTTGATGGACAGTGTGGACATCATATCGCTCATCCCCGCGGAATCACCGCAATTTCTTATCAGATGTCCATCGTTTTTCGGATTGATCTTTACTTGAATTTCAACTTCGTGCTCTATATCCTCGTCGTTTAATGTTTCCGCGTAAATTGCCGGATTGATGAACCGAACTTCCGTGCTGGATCTAGAACTTGCAGGAATCGTGTCGTAGCGGATCAGTCCGTTACTTCGAGAGCTTCTTCTCTCAAAATCGTCGGTGGCGAAATTTTTTGAACGATCACAACTGAACAGACATACATCGTTTCTGTTTTCAGCATCGTTTACCGTTTGCATCTCATTCAGATCATCTCCTCTCTTACAATCATACCAGCTGTCAATCTCGCTGTCAAACATCGTCAAGTGTCCTCAATTCTGATCAGGCAATTAGTACACGATGAAGGTTACAACAGACAAAAGTATATCGAAATTTAACAATTTGTCACATATCGTTGGCTTTCGGGATCGCGCGTTTTAATTAGTCCCTCTGAGTCCCGCTGGAACTCATGTACGCATATTCGTCCATGTTTCACGCCACGATGTTGCACTTTTCATTTGTACAAACAATAACGAATTCTCGATAGAGATCTATCACTATGACCACCTATGACTATGCTTCAACGTGAAATTTACTGATTTAAACAAATTTATGTTGGCGCAATACGAACTTCTGATGTCGAGTCTTTAATCCAGTGATTCAGTGCTAGGTGGAGTCACCATGCCCGAAATGGAACATTTTACATTAATTGCACATAATCACTGTTTAATAATGTGGGAATAATATCATACAAAGAACCTTAAAGAAAGAGAAAGAAAAATAATTTTTTGCAATCTTGATATAAAGCGACAATTTCATTTGCAAAAAAATTAATTTCCAAATTTTTCTAATTGCATGTTTTTAATTGGCTAAAGTTTCAGCTCAATGATAAATATCTCCGAATAAATTTAATTTCTAAATACATTCAAAGAACGTTGAACTAATTTACTTTTTAAAGGTAATGATATACATATAGTTTATTCACCGAAGTCTTTATTTGTTCCTTAAATTATTTCTGTATTCTTATATTAACTTGTGCTTGATCGACATATCACTTAATTAGTAATTTAAAACGAATCGTGATCTCGGAAAAATTAGCGTTCGATTGATATAATATTTCTTAAATTCGATTCAGTCGCATTATTCTGTCGTGTGATCATAAGATATTCTTCTGTAATTTCCTCTGGTTGTATCTTATTAAAGTACGTTTCTCGCTCTTGATGTACGTAATATGTATCGTCGAAGTTAAAATGTAGTCCGAGTACGATGTTCAGTGCAGAAGCGTCATATGCGTGACAACCGGAATACCGGTACTGTGGTTTCTTATTAAATCGGCAACCCGCTGATTGAGCTCCTATGATAAAATACTCGAATTATTATATATCTAATTTTAATATATGTAAGAAATTATTCTGAACGTATACGTATACCAATAGGAGAAATACAATCTCTTGTTAGTGCGCATTGAACCCATGGCAACATTACTTTTTCTCTAATTTCTTTAACATTTCTAATTACTAAATGTGATGCTCTTATTAAAGGAAGAAAAAAGAAGCTTTCTGCAGAAACATGGAAATACTCATACATCTTTGGATGTGTTAAAGAGCTAATTGCATGCCTTGTAGGCCAAGTTAAAATTCCAGATTTTGGTAAAAGATACTTTGAAATGTCTGAAGAATTCAAACGCATGTTAGAATCCATATACAATATATTTCCTAATGTGTTTAAAGCTGTCTGTAACATATAAAAAAAAAATCAATTTCTAATATCTATTTTGCACGTAGATGTTATTACTTATAATAATAAGTTATTACTATAAAAATGCTATATGTTATTACTTATAAAAATCCAGTTACCTGAATAACTAAAGGTCTATAAACATGTAACCTATCATCTTCAACATGGGCTGGAAATAGACTTATATCAAAATGAATCACATTACACTTTGTAGAATTACAAGCTATTCTAATACTTTGCAAAGAGTCCTCATTTAATCCAACACTATATATAACAATACTGTTATTTGGCAAAAAATGACTGATATTTCTCACAAAGCCATAAATGTGTTGTTCATTTCCAGGTCTAATAAGAGATACAACAGTCACATTTTGAGATTTAAAACTAAAAGGTGTTGTGCTTGTTTGTCCATCGAGACCAAGTATTGCAAGATACTTGGAATCTGTTACCAAGCGTTTCTCTTCAACATCCTTCAAATTTTCCTACAAAAATTACAGTATGAAAAAACTTAATAGTAGCCATTGTCTTATCAATAGTAATTAAAAATTAATCGCATATTACAGAAGCATTTACTTGGAAGTTTCGTAACTGCTTGTGTGTCTCTGTAACTAGAGTTTGTATGGAAGGTCGTTGATTGCTGAAAGCAATGAAAATGATGCTGCTTCCTGCTATGCAGATAAGCAACAGTAGCAGGCCCTTGGTACGCATCTCTCATCATTTAATCAAATATATTTCCAATTTTTGGACAATAATTAAGTAAATACGTTACGTTAGAAACATTACACATAGGTTATACATCGTCAATGACATGAGTGACATTTATAAAATCATATCATTTTAATCGATATATATTGCTGTTATACAACCATCAAAAGAAAGGTCCGACAAGTTCATTTCGTGAAAATAATAGTTTAAATTTTTTAACAAATTAGATTAAATTACGTTTTCTTCGATAACTAAACACTGTAAGTGCTCTAGCAGACGCCGCATTTTTAGGAACTTTTTTTTTTAAAAGCAGTTCTGTAAGATGGCATGCAACTGCCATAATTCCATTTCTAAACACTATATCATAAAATTTAATTTTAATAAAATAAAATTCTATCAATTTTTTATAGAATATAATTTTACTTTAACTTGGATATGATTTTCATTTCTTAAATCTGTATATTGTTGAACAAAATTAATTAACTCTGATATTAAATATGTTTTAATATACACAGGAACAAAATATATTTGCAATTTATATTAATTTTAATATCACCATAACATTATAAAATATTTAAAAATAACATGTTACATGATATAAACATAATACAATAATCACACAAGTATATGTGATAAATATATTTTGATGTCAGTAATTATTGAAGAATCTTTTTGATTTATAAATTAATCTGTCTACAATCAAAATACAAAAAATTCAATATAATCTTTATTTTTTTTTCTTCTATTTGATAAAACTTGTCTTTATTATAATTCTGTTTTCTCTTTCTGTAAAAAGTACACAATTTTATTCATTTATATTTTGATTTCATAATCTTATTAAAATATAATTTATTAAAATGCATTCAAATTAAAAAAGAAAACAAATAATATTAATCTATTCTACCAATGAGAAAAGCAGATGGCTAGTGACATTTTTATGAAGTAAATATGTACACACACATATATACCTTGTTGCTAAGATCCTACGAATGAAAGAATAAAAATATGATTCTAAAATTTAATATTGACTCTTATCCCTTGTGTTTAGTGTTAGCATTTTTTATTTTTTGAGATTTAATACAATAAAAAAATGTGAATAAACATTATGTGATTCTATATTTAATATTTATAAAATAATAAAAAGGAAAGATTTTGGAATTTGCGTAAAGTAAATAATAATATTGGCATATTTATTATAGTTAACTAGTATTTTTTAAAATAATATTTTATGAATAAGATATATCTAAATGTTTCGAAAGTAATTTTGTATACATATGTATATTAGAAAAATATTCTGTACTAATTGTGAGTAAAAGATCATGTCACTTTTTTTCACAGTGTTTTAGTACATATAATTTTTTTACGACCTAAACATACAGAAATCTGTTATATTATGTTATAGGATTCTATTCTGTGATATATTACTGTTAAATTTATGATCAAAGAAGTAATAGGTTAAAAATGAAGCTATATAAGTTGATAGTTCATCAAAAAACTTTTAGTGAGGAAGATTTAATAATCAATCCAAAGGATCATCCTAATATAAAAACTGGAGATGTTGTTGAAATTTATCATCCAGAAGATGAATTTAGTCGTCTACTTCTTCAAGTTAAATCCTTCAAAGAAGATTTACAAGGAAGAGAGACAATTAGTGTGGAGAACAATGTAGCCACAATGTTTCAATTAAGAACATTTGCAGATGTTTATATGAATGTTGTTAATCCAGATGATGTAGCTTTAGATTCTGTTGAGCTTACCTTCAAAGATCAATACTTGGGTCGTAGTGAAATGTGGCGTTTGAAAAACAGTTTGGTAATATAGATTATTTATTTTTCAATTTGTATTTAAGTATTTTAATGTTTCATATTATTTTTTATATAAATTTTTACATCAGGTGAATACTTGTGTATATATGAATAAGAAGATTGAATTCTGTGGAGGTAGTATAAGATGTCAAGTATATGAAATGTGGTCACAGGGTGATAGAGTTGCCTGTGGTGTAATAACTAATGATACTAAGGTTTATATTTGAATATAATAAAAAAGAAAGTATCTATAAAAGTATCTGTCTCTTAAATTTTTATTTAAATTTGTATTGTAGGTTGTTTTTCGCTCTTCAACAAGTATGGTATACATTTTTATTCAAATGAGTTCAGAAATGTGGGATTTTGACATTCATGGTGACTTATATTTTGAAAAAGCTGTTAATGGATTTTTAGCTGATTTATTTCAAAAGTGGAAAAAGAATGGTAGTAATCATGAAGTAACAATAGTTTTATTCTCAAGAACATTTTATAATGCTAATAGTCTGGAAGAATTTCCAAGTCACATGCGTGAATGTTTACAACATGATTATAAAGGAAGATTTTATGAAGATTTCTATAGAGTGGTAGTTCAAAATGAAAGATTTGAAGATTGGAGTAATGTGTTGGTGCAATTACGTAAACTATTTACAGATTATCAGAAAATTGTATTAGAATATCATCAAAAACCAGATATTTCTATACCAAAAGCAATGAATTCAACAGCTGCACAAGGCAATTTTTTAGAAGTTCTAAATATGTCTCTAAATGGTAATATGTAAATATAGATAGTTAAATTTATTATAAAATATTTTGCTTAATTTAGATCATTTGCAGTGTTTGAGAAACATTATTTGGATCGTAGTTTTGATAGAACTGGTCAATTATCAGTAGTAATCACACCTGGTGTAGGTGTTTTTGAAGTTGACAGAGAGTTAACCAATGTTACAAAACAAAGAATCATTGATAACGGAGTTGGTAGTGATTTAGTATGTGTTGGAGAACAACCATTACATGCAGTCCCTTTATTAAAGGTATTTCTATTTAAAATATTAAATAACATTTAGTAACAATAATATATAAAGATTAATATCTATGATATAATTGTAGTTTCATAACAAAGATACATCCATCAATGCACCTGATGACTATAGCATGCCACATTGGATCAATCTCAGTTTTTACTCAACAAATAAAAAAATTCCTTATTCAACATTTATACCACGTATAAAACTTCCTCAACGGGTATCGAAACAATCGATGGAAAGTGGAAAATTGCAATGTAAAAGTAAGTTTTTGCAAGAAGATCCAAACGAATGTTTACACAATACTTTGTTTGACTATGATGCATATGATGCACAAGTTTTTCAACTACCTTCAGTTCATACATCAAGGTAAATTCAATATTTGTTAAATGTTAAAAGTTTAATGCCAAAGATTCTAATTTAATAAAATTTTATATAAGTAGTTTGCAACGAGTTACAACAAGAACTAAAAAAACAAGTGTTGCCAGCATGGAAACACATAATAATGCACATATATTAAAACTTTTGAAAAGAAAAATGTCAGATCCTGATATACATCACCCACCACCTACATCTCATTCACCTCCAGCTGCAACAAGAAGTGCAGCAATTTCAATACCTTCCAGAACAGATGATATAACTAGCAGTGAATCCAATGAAGAAGTTAACGGTATATATTCAAATTAATGATATGAATTACATGTTATTTAATAAAATATTGAAAAATAACATTGAATATTATATAGAATCTAGGATATCAGTAAAAAGTGATTTAACCGACTCGGAAATAACACCACCATTTAGGCCTGTTGTTGGTAGTGCTGGAAGCTCTACAAATACAATATCTCAACCTACAACTATTAGACCTAGTAGAGCTCTTATTAATCCTTTTGATCCATCCCATGTTACAATTAAATTAACTAGTAATAGACGGAGATGGACACATATATTTCCCAAAGGTAATTATTAATAAAAACAAGAAATAATATAACTATTTAAATTTAATTGATATTGCAGGACCAACAGGTGTGTTTATACAGCAACACCACTATCAAGCTATGCCAACAAAAATGTGTTCAGAATCACAATCTGATGCTACTTCTACTATAAGTGGTTCCCCTATGGAACATGACATCTCTAACTCAAATCAAGATCGTTAGTATTTCACATAAAATACTTAAGTTGTGTATAATTATAATATGGTTACTGCTACAACTGTTTTTCATAGACACAAAAAATAAACCACAAAGATTAAATCTTTCATTATCAAGTGCTGATAAAAGTGGGAATGCAACGTTTTCTACAGGCAATAAATCTTTAACATTATTATGGGGTGCTACTGGTGAACAGGAATGGTCACCAGCACTTACAACAGGTTTGCATATATTGCATTATGATATATACATATATATATAGTATATACATATATATACATATATGTATATATATATACTGTGTAACTACTGGCAAATAATATTGAATAATCAAATAACAATATTATTCACAAATGGTTATAAAGTAAGTTTACAGTTTGAAGAAAGAATTTTGAAACAATTTTTAATTAAGCAAACAATTAATTTATATGAAACAAAATATTTGACAATTAATTACAGAAATATAATGCTTCTTGGCAAAACAATAAATGTAGGTGTAATGTTATAAATTATTTAACTAATACACAAATTCATATAAAAAAGGTTTTCATTCATATTTAATACCAAGAAGGATTAATAAATATGTTTTAAAACTCTTTAATCTTTTAAAGAATGAAAATAGTTGATATAAATTTTAGGAAGAAATATTGTTTTCCAAGTAGAAATGAATGAAAGTTTAATACATAATCACATAATCATCATGCATAAGAAGTATTTTCATTCTTAGACATATTCATATTTATTTCTGAGATTCACCGATCATTTATATGAATAATATTATTACATTTATTTCCATGCTATGGTACGTCTTATTGGGATGCAACGCTGGACGCATTGACGCGTGTGTGATGTACAACTATGATGTCACATTAAACAGCAATCATAGGTTAGCGCCATAAGTTACTGGGGGTTGATTCGGTTATGGTACACATTTATTTTTAGGGTATTAAATTTGTAGCGACTTTTGTTCTTCATAGCTCTAGTTTTTATTATTCTTCTATGCATGTATGTTCTCTGTTGCAAAAAGTGATTCTAATTCCAAAATAATTTCTATAAATAATCTGTTAAATATTTATTACTATTTCAATTATTTATACACCTACATATAATTTCTTCATTATTTCTTATTTTTATTTATTTCATAAAATGTTTGCACTATTCAAAATTCTAATTTCTTCTGGTTCCTCATATACAGAGTGTTTCGTAATTTGTCGGACCCACTTCGGGAGCTGATTGTACGCTTAAAAATGAAAAAAAGTCATATAAATATAAGTCCTATCTATATTATGAGATATAATGAATTTTTTGTTTTAATTACTTTTACAAAAGATGCTCGAAATGACCATCTTGCATTTGAAGACAAGCCCCCACGCGTCTTGTCATTGATCTGGTTACTCTCTCTATTATTCCTGATGTTTTTCGAATTTGTCGGAAGCCTTGCTCTATTCTATTTCGTAGTATTTCGTAGTATTTTCAATCGATGTTGCGTATACAATAGATTTTAAATGTCCCCACAAATGAAAATCTAATGGATTCAAATCCGGAGAACGAGCAAGTCATGCAATAGGACTTCCACGACCAATCCATTTATTTGCAAAGTGTTGATTTAAAAATTGCCTAGCCATTCGGCTAAAATGTGGCGGAGCTTCATCATGCATAAACCGCATACCGCATTTTAAATCAACACTTTGCAAATAAATGGATTGGTCGTGGAGGTCCTATTGCATGGCCTGCTCGTTCTCCGGATTCGAATCCATTAGATTTTCATTT